TAAATAGAAAGCTTGATCAAAAGACAAACAATATTTAACTATCCCGAAGTATAAATAATTTACACTTTACACATAATACATTTTTGTTTTTTTTCTTGTGTAATGAGAATTTAAACACTGGTTTTAACGTCATATATTTATATAATATCGTGATATAGAAAAATATGCATTAAATGTTTTTTATTTCAACATTTTTTGTAAATATTCCATTAATTTTCTAAAAAAAATTAAATATCGAAAAAACTTTCAAATTGATTTATTACGTTTTTACATCTAATATCGTAATAAAGAATTTATCATTGTTGATTTTTAGCTGAATTTCAAACTAGAAAAGGAATTAACTTTTTAAAAAAAATTAAACCAAAAACTTTCAATTAAATCACTATTTTTTCAAATAAAAAATATTAAGTAACTAGTAAACGCAATTAGCATTTTATATTTGTTAATATTTTAATTGAGGGAAAAATAAAAATATTTAAAATTTTTCAATATATACAATTATAAAAAATTCTAGAATCGATAAAATGATTTCCACTACCATCATGTATATGTTAAAATACTTTGATCATTTTTTTTCTCATATTCATATTAAAAAGATTGAAACATCGAAATAGTGATAAAATGGTCTATTCTATCTGTTAGTATATAATTCAAAAAAATTGGTTTGAAAAAGAAAAAGTTGTCACATATTTGAGTTATACAATTAGATCCAAAATGATAAAAATTTTGAAAAAACGAAAAAAAACCAAAAACACTACAGATGCTTAACGATGATCAGGAAAAAAACATAATAAAATGAAACTATCAAGCGAATTCAAAAATAAAAATAAAGAAATTGCTTTAATCTACTAAAATTGTGTCTTTCATCCCTTTATTATAGTCTCTTACTATAAAATTGCTCACAGGATATTCTTTCTAGAATGTTAATTTATATGATGACCTATCTCAAATCCACTGTACAGAAAAATTTTTTGTTGTTTTTTTTATTAAGATACCTTGATAACCTTTCCATAATTACTAACAGTATAAGGTTATGATAAATGGGATTTATGTGAAACAAAAACACATTAACAATACAAATATCGAATCGGTTTAGTATGTTCAAAAGAAAACATACAAAAATCCTTGAAAGTAAAATAAAGAAAGATAAAGAAAAACACCAAAAACGAACAATCTATAAAGATTAAATTAATTGCAATAACCTAAAAATTATAATTTTTATGCTTTGTCCGAAGTTAATGGATTTGTTAGAAAAATATTTTTTAAGTATTAAAATAATATTTAAATATTCTTTTCTGACATATTATATCTAAATAACTGTTTATTAAAGTGATTACTAATTGTAGAGTATAACGAATTAAAATTGTATAATTATAATTTTTTTAATTTAAAAACGCTTTTATATCTTAAACATAACTAATTGACAACATTTCCACAATTGTTTTTTTTTATATTCACAGATAAACATTGAAAACATGTCAAAAAATGTTAAAACTGTGTTCACAGAATATCAAAAAAGAAAACAAATATAGTAAGTATAAAAATAACATTATTGGTTGTTTATGCCACAGTTTTGACAAAATTCTTTGTTTTTTTATAATTTTGTATATTATATTACACATATTGTATTATTGAACAATTATACTAATATTAATATATCATCATTTGAGGTATTATTATACACCAAAAAATGTCATTTTTGTAGTAATTCACTATATATTATTTTTTAAAAAATACTTTAAAATTTGCTGTTGCTTTATTTTTTTTATTGACCATCATCACAGAAAAAATACCTTAAGATATTTGAAGCATGTTATATTTTTTTGAACATGTCTTTCTTAAGATTCAAATTTATTTATCTTTTTATAATTACTAGAAAATAAGATTTTGTTGTTAATATATATTTTTTATACACATTATTGAAAAATTTCCATTTCCTTAATTCCAATTTATTTGTATCTATAATTTTTAATGTTTTTCTTAAAATAATTGTTTTCCTTATTGATAAATTTATTTAAAAGATTAGTTTCACAATCTTTAAACAACTGATTGATTTATTAACTTCATTATTATTACAAAAATTAATAAAAAAATCATTTAACATGTATTTTACTATTTTTTATCAATTCAAATAATTTATT